GCGCCGGCGCTTGGGGATGGAGGGCGCCGGGATTGGTTGGGGAAGGAGGGCAGTGTATTTTGTGGAGTAATTAGGAAATGGAGATATTAATCAGGAGAGATTTGTGATTTTTGCATCTAGGATCCTCATTTTCTATAAATTCCCTCTCTCGAAAATCTGCTACTTCTATAAATAAGTGTCCAGCGAATAACAACTTGACACGTGGCGACAGCGTAGGAAATTTCCTACGTTGCCAGCCCACCTCCCGTTTTCTTATATATAAGAAAACGGGAGGTGAGCTGGCAGCGTAGGAAATTTCCTACGCTGCAAATGTATGACATGTGAGCCCTCCTACTAGTCACATCGGTGTGGGTCTCACATGTCATACACTTGCAACGCAGGAAATTTTCTACGCTCTCACATGTCATACACTTGCAGCGCAGAAAATTTCCTACGCTGACAGCTCACCTTCCGTTTTCTCATATATATATATATATACTGATATACAGTTCGTTTCTTATGCGCACTAGTGCGTACGCATCCATCCTGTTTCAGCGATTTCAGGGTATTTTTTGTAAAAATCCTCCGACAATTTCGTTGGAGCTCGTGACCAGCATCTCTCTTTCGACTACGAAAAGCGGGGGCCTTTTTGAAAAATGTCACCGAAGAGGAGTTAAAGGCTTCGTGAGTCCGTGACCATTCTCTCTCTCCCAATTCCAAAACACTTATCCCAAATTCCATCCCCATCGCCGACTTCCCCCAAATCCATCCCCGTCACCGCTAACCGAACCCTCCCCCAACTCCGGAGTCCCCGTCACCGCCGACCGACCTCCTCCATCAACGCAGTAAAGCCCTCGACTCCTCCCCCAACTCCGGCTCCCCGTCACCGCCGACCGACCTCCTTCATCATAACAGTCAAGCCACCGACTCCTCCCCCAACTCCGGCTCCAAGTCACCGCCGACCGACCTCCTCCATCAAGCCATCAAGCCACCGACCTCTCCCCCAACTCCGGCTCCAAGTCACCGCCGACCGACCTCCTCCATCAAGCCATCAAGCCACCGACCTCTCCCCCAACTCCGGCTCCAAGTCACCGCCGGTCATTAAAGGTGTGCATCTCTCTCTCTCTCTCTCTCTCTCTCTCTCTCTCTGCAATCTTCCTGCTTGTTTAAATGCCTCACTCGTTTAAATATACCATTCATCTTAATCAGGACCTCATTTGTAATTAGCTGTTCTGTTTCTTTAATTTGTTGCACTTTTTTTACTGCTAATTAATGGCCCACGAATGAGTATTCTAGTCTGGTAAGTTCACCAGCAGAGCCTCTCCTTTCTTTTCCTCATTCCCACGGAGACTTAACGTATCAAAGAGTGGCAGTTCAAAACACTGAAGCTTTTTTAATTGTTGAAAGTCAATTTCAATTGTTGATAAAAGTCTGGAAGTTTATTGATGAGTTGATAAAAGTCAATTTCAATTGTTGAATTTCTTGATACTCCATGCTATTGAAGATATAAATACAATTATACTGATATGTAAAATAGGCATTTCTCTGAAGAAATTTTGTTTGGTTGTTTTCCTTTCAAAACTCGAAAGAATTTGATAGTATATTTGAATGTCAATCAAAGAAACTATAAATTTAATAGTGCTTCCAACTCATGAGATTTTGTGCATTACTGACTGTTATTGTTATATATAGAAAATGACGAACATAAATCATGGGTGAATCGGGGTTCTCACAACCTCTATAATTGTACCCATGAAAGCCTAGTGATATTGTAAACAGGATTGTATTGTAGAATCAAACAATGAAAGCCTAGTAGATAATGATATTGTTTATGAGTGAAATATATGATTTATTTTGTTAACTACTTTATATGTCTAATTCTTAATTGGTGTCAAGGTTGTAGTATGTTGTGATTTTTGTAGATAACAAGTCTATGTATTAACTGTTACTGATTTCTTGCTGCAGAGAAAAAGATTGATGATCTACATAATCGTTCTGGACCTTGCAGAGTAAAAGGCAAAAGTGCGGTTCGTTTTTGGGCTGGTGCAAGATTTCCTCAATTGAACAAATACCACTCTTTATTGCCCCACCAGAGGCACATGACTTGGTTGTTGTACGTGAAAAAGTGTTGTAGAAATGGCTAACTATTATAGCTTTTTTGTTGTCTTTTTGTTTAGCCATGAAAGAAATTATATGATATGATGTAACTTGATGTGCTGGAATGAAACAAGACTTTGTAAGTGAGGAAAATACTTTGATGGCCTATGGACATGTAAAGGCATTGTATTTTGTGAAGGCATTGTAAGTGAGGAAAATACTTTGATGGCCTATGTACTTTGATGTGCTGGAATGAAACAAGAAATTATGTTATGTATTTTGTGATCTGCAGTATACACCAATGACTTGCAGTATAATTTGGACTCAGTCCCAGCTCTTCTGCAGTATACACCAATGACTTGCAGAACACCAAAATCTAACATATGCTATATCTGTACACCAAAATCTAACATATGCTATAATACAGATACACCAATGACTTGTTTCTTTACAATCTGTTGCAGTATAAGTAAAGATACACCAAAATATGCCACTTTATCAAACAAATCAGTTAAATAAATCCATTAATCTGTTAAATTGAAATCCATCAATCTGTCAAACATATGCCACTTTATCAACAAATCAGTTAAATAAATCAACAACAATCAACAATCTGTTCACACAATCAACAATCCGTTCTTCCTGCAAGCAAACCAGTTAAATAAATTCATCAACAAAGCTACAATTCTGAAGCACAAACTGAAGCCTGTCAAATGAAATTCAAACAAAAAAAAATTACAAGCTAGAATTTGACTCAAAAGGCAGAATTTGAGAAACATTCTCAAATTGACAAGTTGCACGAGCAACTACAATCAAACATAGTTTAGTTACAATCAGTGAGTAATAACAGAGCTACAATCAAACATAGTTTAGTTACAACAGCTATTATACATCAAGTAGGAGACAACAAATTCCTGCATCTATCTGAATCAAACATCACGTCTGCAAATTTTCATTCTTGAATACAGTATCTGAATCAATTATACTAATCCTCTTTGAATAGCAAGCGAAGCAAATAACGCTGCATTGTGCACGATTGAAAATTCCAATACTCCTGGATGTTCAGAAATCAAAATTGAGTAAAGACGCAATATAATTCTAAAATTGAGTAAAGACGCAATATAATTCTTTCTTTTTCAAACAAAATCACAATTTCAAATTATTTTGCTAATAAATAAGGTTAAAGTTTTTGTCCATGTAACCAAAATGAAAGTATATAATCAGCATTATGACATGTCTCCTTAGGAGAAAATGTACCCAACCTAACTAATGATACTATTACTAGATTCCTATGATACAAATACTACAACCAAAAATACATGATAGCCAAGATTGATAAATGATATACTACAATATACGTGTTAGATATTGAAATCACTACTCTTTGTTTCGGGGACCCTCAATCCCTTCTCATAACGTATACGTAGCAAATTAGGGATACACCTCTCAGAAGCAAATACCATTAAAGTACCATCCTCACCAATGAATACTTCCAAAGCACTAGACTTTCAGACATCAAATTGAGCTAAAATACGGTGCAATTCTTTCTTCAACTTGCCTACTCTTACTAAATCCATTGAATGCAGCTATTGTCGGTTTTGCCAAATGAATGTGCATAATCTCGTCGAAGGGGAAAATTTTCATATTCACATAAATGAGGGTACTAAGGTGCAATAGTGAGAAAATTTAAGTGCAATTAAAAGTATACAGGTGCTGCCAATAACAATCGGAAGTACTTAAGTGCAAAGTAGGGGAAAATACAGGTTATTTAAGGGCAATTAAGCCTATTTTATACTCTGGCTCTTACCAGTTAATTGATAAACGCAGATGGGCAAAGCTTTACTAATATATAGCTACAAATTTTGAAGGTCGTGACAAAGATGCTATAAAAAGAGCAGCCACAGCAACCAATAACAATGACAAAAGAAGAAGAAGAAAAGGTAATTATACATCTAATTTTGTTCTATTATTCTTTTTATCAAAGCAAGAAATTCAACAATTGAAATTGACTTTTATCAACTCATCAATAAACTTCCAGACTTTTATCAACAATTGAAATTGACTTTCAACAATTAAAAAAGCTTCAGTGTTTTGAACTGCCACTCTTTGATACGTTAAGTCTCCGTGGGAATGAGGAAAAGAAAGGAGAGGCTCTGCTGGTGAACTTACCAGACTAGAATACTCATTCGTGGGCCATTAATTAGCAGTAAAAAAAGTGCAACAAATTAAAGAAACAGAACAGCTAATTACAAATGAGGTCCTGATTAAGATGAATGGTATATTTAAACGAGTGAGGCATTTAAACAAGCAGGAAGATTGCAGAGAGAGAGAGAGAGAGAGAGAGAGAGAGAGAGATGCACACCTTTAATGACCGGCGGTGACTTGGAGCCGGAGTTGGGGGAGAGGTCGGTGGCTTGATGGCTTGATGGAGGAGGTCGGTCGGCGGTGACTTGGAGCCGGAGTTGGGGGAGAGGTCGGTGGCTTGATGGCTTGATGGAGGAGGTCGGTCGGCGGTGACTTGGAGCCGGAGTTGGGGGAGGAGTCGAGGGCTTTACTGCGTTGATGGAGGAGGTCGGTCGGCGGTGACGGGGACTCCGGAGTTGGGGGAGGGTTCGGTTAGCGGTGACGGGGATGGATTTGGGGGAAGTCGGCGATGGGGATGGAATTTGGGATAAGTGTTTTGGAATTGGGAGAGAGAGAATGGTCACGAAGCCTTTAACTCCTCTTCGGTGATATTTTTCAAAAAGGCCCCCGCTTTTCGTAGTCGAAAGAGAGATGCTGGTCACGAGCTCCAACGAAATTGTCGGAGGATTTTTACAAAAAAAACCCTGAAATCGCTGAAACAAGATGGATGCGTACGCACTAGTGCGCATAAGAAACGAACTGTATATATATATATATATATACATTATATATAATATATATTATATAAAAAAGCAGAGAGAGAAATGAGTATGTTTGGTAGTGAGATGTCACATCCTCCTCCACTCATTTAAATGATTGCATATCTCCATGCACTACTTAACTCATGTGAATGTGGTCCCCCATTTGAATGAGTGAGAGGTGAATGTGTCACCTCACTACCAAGCACAAATTTGTGCTTCGGTACCAAGCATACACATTTTTTCTCATATATATATACCCATCTCTCTCTCTCTCTCTCTCTCTCTCTCTCTATATATATATATATATATATATATATATATATATATATATATAAATATATTGAGAAAATGGTGATGCTTAGCACCAATCACAAATTTTGTGCTTGATAGTGAGGTATCAATTCACATCTACTCATTCCAATTCTCAACCACTCCCCACCCATGGATTTTAATGAGTGGAGGGGAATATACCACCTCACTATCAAACACAAAAACTTGTTGTGCTTCGTACCAAGCATACCTATCTCTCTCTCTCTCTCTCTCTCTCTCTCTAATATATTATTATATATATATATATATATATTATATATATTATATATTATATATATATATTATATATATATATATATATAATATATATATATATATATATATATATAATACTTTTAAATTTAAGTCACTTATATTACTTTGGTGATAACTATTTCTGTACCATTAAACATTCAATAACCACCTACTCCATGCACAGGTATCTCCAAGTATGACCAGAACCATTATCACAACCATCTATACTTCGAAATAAAAGAAATAGAAAAGCTCAACCATCGATACGTGATACCTCCATGGACAAAATGTGGCATCTGTAGTCCATTCTTCCTCGGGATAATTATAGGCATTTCTCTGTAGTTTTTTTTCCCCTTTTTCTTTCTTCAAGCTCTGAGTATACAATCTAAAGCGTGAAAGTATAAGTAAGAACCAATGATGATACATAGAAATATATAAATAGATGTCTCATCTAGAAATTGGAATATCTGATGATCCAAATCTGTTATGGATATTGACTCTCTTCACTAAGAAAAAATACTGAAGATGTCACTATTTTTAACGTCAACGATTGATTTATTAATACATGGTTATGATTTGTTTTCTTGAATGTAAAATAGAAATAAATGTAATTTATAAGGTGGAATGAATCACAAACCCACACAACTGTCCATTTAACAATCAATAGTTTGGTAGCATACCTAAGAAAATCACAGGCGAGAGACCACCGTTTACATACCGTATCAAGCCCATTTCCGCTGCATTTCTTTCAAGTGACATAAGCTTGTACTCAAATGATTACAAAGTAGAAAGTTATTATTCATGCGTAAAACACGTGCACATCACACACGTACAATCCCTTCATACCATTACCTCACTTATTAAATAGTTCAAAAAGAGCTCACATGCGACCTTATTAAATCCTATAGGCATTTAACCAACGCAAGCATGTTCAGAAGGAGCCGCAGGCATCGGAGGAAAAGGAGACTGGAATTCTACCAGCAACAGTCATTGAGAATTCCTCCCCAAATGTACGTGCAGTGCAACCATTTATTGATTAATCTACAGAAACCCAAGTTTTACCCCCTTTTGACTAAAAAAAGTAGCTTAACAAGCATAATCTACTGACTTCGTCACAAAAAGATGAAATTTTCATATCTCAAATGGGCTCTTAATGTTGAAATCGGGTGTAGATCAAACCTCGATTCAGGCGAGGTTGAACGGAAGCAGACGAGCTCGAGATCCGGGCGAGATTTCATTAGGCGAGGTCGCTCGAGGCAGGCGAGATTTTTGTCAGGCGAGATCTTGTCTGACGAGTTTTTTTGAAGCAGGCGGACTCCACCCAGGAGAGCTCGAGGGCATGTGTTGCAGGCGAATTTGAGGCGAGCTGGCGGGGTTCGAGGTGTGTGTGGGCTGGCGACAGCCTGTCGCCAGCCGAACCCTAGGGTTTCCCTATAAAAGGGAAACCCAAAGCTCATCCCGCTGCAGCTTCCCTCTCGCGATCTCAAGAAACCCTCTTTGGCGGCGGATCCCCTTTTTCTCTCCCTCTCTCTGTTCCGTTTTTCATCTCCAGCTCTCAATCGTGATTTTGAGGGGAGACATTAAGAAGGAAATTAAAGAGGGGGTGAAGGGAATTAGAGGGTTATTCCAGGAGAGCTCGAGGGCATGTGTTGCAGGCGAATTTGAGGCGAGCTGGCGGGGTTCGAGGTGTGTGTGGGCTGGCGACAGCCTGTCGCCAGCCGAACCCTAGGGTTTCCCTATAAAAGGGAAACCCAAAGCTCATCCCGCTGCAGCTTCCCTCTCGCGATCTCAAGAAACCCTCTTTGGCGGCGGATCCCCTTTTTCTCTCCCTCTCTCTGTTCCGTTTTTCATCTCCAGCTCTCAATCGTGATTTTGAGGGGAGACATTAAGAAGGAAATTAAAGAGGGGGTGAAGGGAATTAGAGGGTTATTTAAGAGGAACACTGTAGCTACAATATTACACTTGTATTTACTGAGAGATCTCAGTTTGAGACCGGCTCAATCTTTGTAATTTCTTGTTAATTAATAAGAAATTTACTATGTGGTTTCCGAGGACGTAAGCAGTTGCCGAACCTCGTTAAACTTGGTGTACTTTTCTCTATACCGCGTTTCTGTTGTTTTAGGTTGCGTAGTCCCAGTGGGTAGTATTCACAACACTTAAAACGAAACAATAATCTTTGATTTAAAAGCAACTCACTTCATCAAGTAAGGCATGATGACCCATGCTGCAACTTTCCGATCCCAGGGAACATTCCATGGCCGCAAAATTGACAGCTCTTTCTGATCCAAATCCTAAATAATAATTAAAAAAAAAAGAGAGAGAAGACGACCAAATCATTTACAACTTAATTAAAATAATTTGGACCACTTCAAACACTGAAGCAAGTTCATAAGCTCAATTACCTCTTCGGAGCTAGGTCCTCTCGATGGATTGGAGCAGCAAGCCTAGAGTTCAGTCTCCAACCGATAAACTGAGAGGATTTAAGGGACTCTAGAGCCATTTCAATGATTTCAGGGACTAAATCAAATTATTGAGCATTTGAGGGATTAACATTGTAGACGCACAAATTTTTTTTTTATGTCTCAACATGCCACAAACTTAATTGATTAAAAGGTTTAACACCTTTTGATAAGCTTTAAAAGTGAAATATAACTCGAGGATACTCACCCTATACACCTAATTTCAGCTTTAAGGTATATAGGCTCCACATAACACATATTTTAAGATAAAAAAAATAAGTTGATAGATAAATGAGAAGTGAAAGGCAAATGAAATGATTGTTATGATAAACGAATGCAACAATCTTGATAAGGAAGTTTCAATAATGAAGTTATAATAACTCTCCCACCAATCTCTTTCCAACACCCAGCAATAACTTCCCTTTGTCTTCCTATAAATTGAGATCTCATTTGCTATTTGGAGGGGGGAATAACAAAAAAAACGACAGAAAAGATAGAGAAAAGGCTGAGAGATTGAAAAGAAAGAGAGACTGGAGTCTGAAACAATAACGACAAGGTCCTCTATATTTTTTTTTTTCATTTTGAAATGGAGGAGGGCTCCGGAACATTGTCTCCACACTCAAGATCTCATCTTCTTTCTCTTACATTTTGTAATACATTAGAAACATAATAAAATCAATAACTCTCTGCATTTAATTTCTAATGTCTATTTAATTCTTTGCTTTCTATTAATCAGGAATTTCTTTTAAAAAGTTTAATTAACAGAAAGAAATAAAATTTTGGAAGCATGCAACTCACAACTTTTTTTAACAAACAAAGTGATACTAATATTGTATCTAATGAGTAAATATTTAGGGATTGCTCTACTCTTCTTGAGATTGGTGATACAGCTTGGTCAAGAAGAGATTACCCTACTCAAATATTATTTCTCCTCTGATGGATATTAGCACCACTTTGAATTTTTTTTACAAACTATACACGTTGGGTATTCCGACACTTACAAACATGTGCTAACCACGTGTAATTAACAATGGTATTATGGGGAGAATAAGTTGCAGTAAGGTGGTCACTTGCAAGCTATACTCACTTATAAGGTGATTTCTGTATAAAAAACACTTAAAAGGTGGTTCTTATTGATTTGCCTATTTTAAAGGTGTTTTTTATGAAAAAAGACCCAAAACTTAATGCAAGAATAGGGATTATATACATCCTTAGTTGTAGAGATCATCTACAATTCAAAAATCAAATCTCCTCAATCAATAAACCCCATGAATGATATTAATTATTTAATTATATAAAAACACTTAATTATGAGGTCCATTGAGATAAATTAATAGTATTATTTCACATAGCTAATTGCAGGCTTTCTCTAAAAGCAAGATTGTAGATAATCTGGGCTCCTTAATGGTGGCAATCAAAAAGTGGATGAACGAAAGACATTTCCTCCTTGCATTTGTAAATTAAAGGATATAATTATAATTTTACAAGAATACTTTTTCACTTTTCTTTTCTTGTTTTATTTTCTCTTTCCTTCTTCAAAAACATTCTAGATCATTAAAAGACTTGAAAATTCAAGGTCATTTAATTTTACAAAAATATATTTTGACCTTCATTTACTTCCCTTTATTCTTCCTTCTTTCTTCAAGAACATCCTAGATCATCGTGTGACATAAAAATAAGATTGAAGCCCCTATAACAATTATATTTTGTTATAATTTATAAAAGATACAAAAAGAAAATGATGATGTTTTAAAAGATATGTTATACGTAAATTAAAAAGAGACATGTTCCTTTGCACATATCTATATCTATATTACTATTTGTATTAAGA